CTGAGCGATGTGAAGACCACTCCACCCTAGGAATGATATACGCCTTTCAGGAAAGTGTCTGGGTTAAAGGTCTGTAACTCTGCAAGAGCCTGGAATTTATTCCTGCCAGGGCTCTGTCACCGTTCTTTGCGATGGATTGAGATTGGATTGGAAGTCGTGTCTGGAAGCACTAGCATCTGCCTACAGGACACGGTGTCTGGTCCTCACTGAAACCACTGTCCCTTTACGTTGCCCTGGCAATAAGCCAGAATCGGGCCCAGCGCATCTGCTGGGGCCAGACTTTTCTTTTTCTCTTTGCCACGCCACCCTTCTCAGAAACGGCACTCTTCTCTTCGGCTTGGTGGACTTTTGCCCTGGCGAAATGTTGCATTGGCTCAGTATTTAGACATGAGACTGCTGAGGAGCAGTGAATGTTACAGCATATGTGCCTGAAGGATCCTTAGGTGGCACCTTGAACTCATTTTGAATCAAAGCATAAGCCTAGAACTGCAAGTACTGTTTTTCTTTCTTCCCTTTTTTATTTTAACTATTGTGTGTAAAAATCACCCAGAGTGATGAAAGTTCCCATGTGGCTTTTTAGCTGAAATCTTCTGTCCAAAATCCAACTTAGATATTTTTTTTTCTTCCCAGAATTGCTCCTTCCATTTCTGCTGGAAATTATTGCTACTTCTCTGAGTGCCTTGAAGTTCTGCACGGTGTTGCTAAATGCTGATAAACAGCTTCCACATTTCTCATTACGCGTGGGCGACTTGGTTCATATTTATAGCTTGTGTATTCACACTGCAAGATGTAAGGTGATATGTATACATACCATTGCTACTACAGACCTAGCTGAATACTACCCTTTCTAACATTCATTGCTGCTTCTTTTAAGACACCTACTTTTTTTTAGCACCCACAGAATTTGATGAAGTCAGTTGTCCCATGATTTCCTGAAAGCATGAATGCTAATTTAGCACTTTGTCGTAAGGAATGACCTCAAACCTGTGAATGATGTCACATCATTAGTATATCAGGTTTAAGCATCCCTCTGCTGTGACTTTTGGAACATACACTTTAAGCTAAGGCTAAATTTTCCCCTAGCTATATTGAAGGTTATGTAGGCATCTGCTAAAAGCGGAACATGCTTCATCCTCCTCCCTTTGATAGATGCTGCTTTTCTTTTCCACCAGAACGGTGGCTGCTCTTCAAATGAGCTGCGTCGCTTTTGCGGCTGAATAGGTAAGAACCTTAGCGTGGTCCTGACACATATTTTCTGTTTAGGCCACCAGTGTATTTGGCCCAGATTTTCAAGTTTCACTCCTCTTAGGCTGCGTTTTGGTGGATTTGGCTCGTATTTAGCAGGGAAGCATTATGTGATGCTTTTACTGCTGAAGTCGTTTCATCAAAGGAAATTATATTATGTCACAGTAAAATGGTTGGAATGTCCTGTGTAAAGAAATGAAAGCAGGAGCTGAATTTCTTTCATTTATTATTTGAAAAGTGCAGATGCATTTCTAAAGCCGTTGTGATTAAAATTCCAAGGTTTTTGTTCAAGGGCAATTCTGATTATAATTTTTCAAAAAGTCTCAGAGCCTGAATGTCTCTGTATTCACTAATCACATGGTATCCATGTCAGAATGCTTCACAGAAGCTTGTCAGGAATCAAAATTTTTTATAAGACTCTCTTGTCATTCCCAAAGCGCCTGCACATCAGACTTACTGTGTTGTCTCCACTTGGCCCCCTAAACTTTCTACCCAGGTGATCTTTATCCCCCTGCCTTGGCGGTTTGGATCTTAGTCATGCTGTGTGATCACAAATGGCTTCGATGCTTATTCGAACAAGATCAATTTTTACTGGGCAGAGTGAATTGATTCTTCAAGCCCTGCCAATACGACATCGCTGGCTTTATGAAAATTGTTTTAAATATTATTACAGCATCCTAACTAACTTTAATAACTGAAGTATTTGAAAAAGCTGATGCAATACTCCTTGCTTTGAACAGGGCAGCACTAATGAGCTTAAATCCCAGAGGAAGCTATCAGTTCATCAGACTGGTCATGCAGACGTTAAAGCCCGTATGCGTTGGCTGTACCAGACTCTTAAAAAAGTAATGAAGACATCCAAGTTAACATGTTCTCACATCACACCTTTAAGTCCTCCTTGTAAGGGTGGTGGAGCCCTTGGCAAGTGCTCTTCAGCTGGTCTACTGGAACCGCAAGTGAAGATGCACAAAGCTTTGTCTTTTCTCTTTCTGAGGTACGACCAGCAGCCTCCGCAGTAGTACCGGATTCTGCTGGTTTGAAAATCAGAAATCGGATCCAGAAGTAAGAGACAGAATCTTGGCTCAGGAGCCCAGCAGTTGCTTCAGAATTAATGAATTGATTAAGGTAAAAATGGGGGGTTTGACTAACTCTTCAACTCTCAGGTTTGAATTTGAAAAGTCTGCAAGTATACAAATTAATGATTTTCTGCCTTAGCCTTGAAAATCGTACTTTTTACATTAGCGTGTTATGTTAACTGTGGGGTTTTTTTTAATTATGGCCATATTTTCAGAAGAATCTCGCTGAAGTATCTGCAACTTAAGTGCAGTCAGCAAAAAAAGTCTTGCACATGGTAACTTCCTCACACAAAGATTTCACTCTGAAGCTTCCCCTCCACGTTTTGGTTAATGCTTGAGTAAAAGGCTTTATTTTATCACACGTTTAACATTCTGAGTAACCTATTTTTGCCCAGAACTGACGCGTGCTAGACGCAAAGCTGGACTTCCCTGTTACCAGCTGTGAAATGGCTGGTGGGTGCACACCGTGGCCGCGATCCGGTG